AAGCTCTTCTAGTTAGCTAGTAGGCCTGCTCTGCTAAGGTTAGCTTGTGGTCTGCTAAGGTTATCTTTTTGAGGAGCTAGGCTAGCTTGTAGCTCTTCTAGAGTTAGCTTGTAGGTCTGCTAAGGTTATCTTTTTGTGGAGCTAGGGTTAGCTTGCATGTTAGGGGGAGTGGTGGCGCAGAGGTTAGAAGATGGGCTTGTGATCGGAAAGTCGCAGGTTCACCTCCTGGTACCATCAAAATGTGGGTGGAAAAGGTGAAACACACACACCTGCCTCCAACCCCCTGGGCCCCTGAGCAAGGCCCTCAACCCCCACCATCTGCCTCCTAAACAGGTCTCTTGAAAATGAGTTCTCGTGGCTCAATGAGACTACCTGGATAAATAAAGGGTAAATTTAAAAAAATGTTTGCTATATTTATCTTAGCTAGCTTGTAGCTCGTTTAGCTTGTAGTTTACTTTAAAAAAATTGCAACAGTGAAGCGCAGGAAAGAAACACAATTGGAACTGGTAAGTTTTAAAAATAAATTACCATACAGATCAATGTGTATACAATTTTTAACAAGTTATTTTAATTTCTGTATGGCTCAAAACCAATATTGGTTCTTGGCCTGGTGGTCGGTGACCCCTGACTTAAAAGACTTCAAATATCAGCTTTTTAAATATAACATTACTTGGTAAAACTCAAGACATGTTGAACACTCCCAGCCCTATAACACATTTAGAGTTGCTAGACCAAACCCATTTTAAAAATGCACTAAAATCTTTACAGCTTTGAAGTATAACATCTTTTCTATGAATATAGCACTGTGTACAAAATTAGAAAAACAAACTAAGGGATTTTAGGAACAGGTTCAAACAAAACAAAAAAAACGAACGTATGAGTTTATATTTTACAGGACAGCCTCATATGGAGGTAAATGTGACTGGATGGATCATTAGTTACCAGAGTTATACAATATAAACGCACAACTAGCAAAGATCGTGAAAATAAAAAAAGATTTAAAAACTGTGGCACCACTGTAGACAACGCACTTTCTTAGGTAGCCTGTGACCAAAGGGTGACAGAAAAGAGACTAATAAAACACACAGATTAAAACTATAGTCGCTGAAAAAGGTGCAGTAAAGTCTCTAATTTATAAAACATCCTGCCGAGCTGAGACCACAACCAGAAGACTAATGGAAGACAAATGTACTTTGATGCATATTTACCTTTTACTTTACTTAAGAGCACAGATTGTCGTGTTTTTGTGCTTTCGGCTACAAATTCTCTACCTGATGCGTTGAGTCAGCCTTTTGTTTCTCTGCAGTTACAGTATTTTGCAACGGTCGACACACCTCGCACCTCACCGTTTCCTCCTGAACCGCCTCAGCTTCCTTTTATACTGAAAACCTACATGTGCACCTGCACCAAATTCTTGAGTCGGGCTTATCCTGATGATAAGAATGTACACAAACAATATCATTAATATTTATCTTATAGCTTTCAAGAAAATGTCAGTGTAATCAAAATTCCACCTGATTGTATAGAAAGAGTCTAATTTAGCACTCGGAGGGCCTAAAAGTTTAAAGCACTTCATTGTAAAATAAAGTTTAAGTAGACTGAAAATCTACTTTGACGAACTTTATCTTTAGCTTACCTTTTAACGATAATTTAGAAAACAAGTTTAAAAAAAAAAAGGACAAAAACACAGTTCTGGCACTATTCCACAAGAATCTCCTCAGTTTTTATTGCTTCTAGTGGGGTGCCAGAGTTGGACAAATCTGAGCCTTCATCTTTGGAAAATTCCTCCCGCTGCAGCAGCGCGCCTACGGACGCGTTTCCCTGCAGCCCGACTAGTCCTCCTTGTGAGAAGCACAGGTGTTTAATCACCTCGCTGGGACTGGAGAAGGTTGTCGCACAAATGTTACACTTGTAAGGCTTCGAGGAGCCCAAGAACATGGCCTCCATCTGGCTGCTGTCGTCTCCTGCGGCGCACAGCTCCATGCTCTGACGGTCCACCATGGTGTAGGAGTCGGCCCCCTGGTTCAGGCACACGTGGCGGGCCGCCTGGTTGGCGCGGCAGAAGCTCTTCCCACACGCGCTGCATTTGAAGGGTTTCCCCGTGTGGATGTACATGTGCTCGCGCCAGTGGCTCTTCTGAATGAACTTCCGCCCGCAGGTGGAGCACTCGTACTTCCGCCGCTTCACCTCCCGGTCCAAGTCTGCGTTCTCTAGGTTGTCGATGTCCGCGATGTCTGACGGGGGCGGCGTGTCGGCCTGGGAGTTTAATCCTCCCACCCCCCAGGTGGAAGTGGAAACCTCAGCTTGTGGAGAGTCGGAGTTGGTCCCTGAAACAGGAGTTTGCTCGCTGTCACTGATGATCTCGACTGATGCAGCCGCAACCACGACACCTGACCCGGATTTGTTACCTGCAAGAGCCCCCGCTGCCAACATGGCGAGGTCTCCCATCACAGGTGAGGGCGCCTTGCTGGGCTCAGCCGGTGGATGCTGGAAAGTCTGAGCGTGCTGCAGGAGATGCTCTCTCAGCAGACTTCTCTGTGTGAATCTGCTCTTGCAGAGATGACAGGAGTAATGCTTCCTGAAGGAGGAATTCCTCTTCATTATGCTGGGCTTCACATGGAGAATAGCACCAGCTGAGGAACCATCTGCATTTAGTAAATCCATCCCCCCCTCCTCAACCAAGGGTTTAGCTCCACTCGTTGAGGCCTCGGCATCGGGGTGTGAGGAAACCTGTTTGGATATTACAGAATTTGTGACTGAACCTGCAGCTGGCGTGGACAGAAACTTTCCCTCCGAGCTGACCTGCTCCAAGTCGAAGGGAGAGGTGGTCTGCTGGCGAGACGTTCCTCTGGGTGACAGCGCCATCTGCTGGTCAGAGATCTGGATGCCGTAGAGAGAGGTGGACAGGTTGATGTTCTGTTCGGGGTGGGAATACGTAGACTGGCTGGCCTCCTGCAGGAGCGGATAAGCGTGCAGGAACCGGACGCCCTGCTCCAGCCGCGCGGGATCGATCAGCTGCGGTGCCAGCTTGCCTGTGTACATCAGGTTGAGGAGGTAGCTGAAGATGTCGGGCTGTATGTCGGCAGCCTTCAGACGCACACAGTCACTGAAACAAATGCACATGAGTTAACTACAGAACAATTACCTGGTAATCTGACACAATGTTGTCCAAGTTTAACAGCAAAAATAAACTAGAAAAGCAGCAGATGGCATCAAAACATGATAGAAACAAAGGCCTAGCAGTCCTTTAAGTTTAATGTTGGTTGGTCTTTTCTTTAATGCGACCCACCACTTAGCCTCTAATGCATCTGAGCACCTGTCCTCTGACCTGTCCTGGTGAATAAAGAGCATCCTGAAGTAGTTGGAGAAGGCAGCCAGGACGGCCTTGTGGGCTTTAAAGAAGACGTCTCCGATGGCCACGGTGCAGTCACACAGGAAGCCAAACTCCCTCTGAGCGTTAAGCTGTTGCAGCAGGATAAGACCATGGTTGGCCAACTCCATTCTTCAGCCTGCACAGAAACACACAGGCAGCGATGAGCTTCCTGTCAAGAAGCACACGCATGTTGACTGACCACAGAGCGACAGGATGTCAGCGGCGATCGAACAGCCGCACAAAGGCTAACTTCACGCAGCAGCAGCAAGGAACCATTTTGAAACGCTGGAGGAAAAACTGTGTATAAATCACACTCACTGAACACCAAAAACAAGTTTGCCTAAAACTGGTTGATTGTTGACTTATAGTTTTTTCCCCTTCAAGAATATCAAATATATCTATGTAATTTTTTTTATTTAAAATTAGGCAAGTAGATGCCTAAAAAAAACTATCCTAACAAGCCAGATGTCTAAATATCTATAACCTGCCACCAAATGCAAACACGGAGCGATAATGTTTTTTGTCAGCAAACTATCATGAACTAACATAGAAAATAAATCAGGTGGACTTTACAGAAAATGATTATTTGGTGCAAATCTACTTCTGATTAAGGTTTGCAGAGTCAACCCCATTCAAGATGGCCACCACAGAGAAGCAGTCTTAGCAAACGCAAAAATGCCTACACCTCAGCCGGTGTAACAGCTAAAGGGTGGTGTGGTAGTAGCCGACCATTGTCCTTAACACTTTGGTGCAACATATTGCAAAACATCTTTGCTTAAAATGTTAACATTGACTGTTGTATTCAACCTTGTTAGCAAAATATTTAATAAACAACTAGGCCAATTTCAATAAAACTCTGAAAGTAGTCATTGGGTGTACATCTAATAAAGCTACCCCAGGCAAGATGGCCACCACAGCGAATTGCTCTTGTTCTAAAGAAAAATGTCTAGAACTCAGGGAGTTTTACAAATAGAAGCTAAAATTTGTGGTGGAAGTGTCTCAGTCATTCAAAACACAAGCTATTGCAAGACTGTGCATAATGTTGTTTTCGAGGTTTGACTAAAACGACTACAACTTTGTAATTTCTCAATGTATGACGACGTCTGAGACGACTTCTGTTGTGACTTGGTGCTATATAAATAAAATAAAATGAAATGAATTAAAACTCTAGCATGAGATGCGGCGGATGATATTCAATCCAGTTTATTTGTATGGCAGCAAGTCACAACAGAAGTCATCTCAGGACACTGAACAGAAACATTCATGTACATAAAAAGTAAGTTACTAACATTATTTATCTGAGGAGCAGACTGCGTTGAATTTTAACTTCATCACAGACTCATCTTGAGCAAGCATGAAGGCGACAGTGGAAAGGAAAAACTCCCTCGTGAGGAAGAAAGCTCCATATGATTCCTTAAAGTAACGCGAGGCCTTTAATTTGTATTAGTTTTCAACTCAAGAATCTAAAATAATGCCTATTGTGCTAAAACGTGTTCTGCTTTCACAACACAGCTGCAATGAAGCAAGAATCCTTCTGAGTCAAACTTTAGAGACATTTCAGAGCCGCCTGCGTTCTGCTGACCAATGAGACGTGTTTTGTTGACCCTAAAGGTCAGCGGTGGAACCGGAGGGCTTCAGGCCATCACATGATCAGGGTGTCGGCACACATTCCAAGGCAGAGAGCATATCCTACCCGCCCCCTGCAACGAGGTATGGGAACGGCCTGTGGGAAGGGTGACTCTCCTTCCTCCAACATTTTCTACACACACACAAATATCTGGAGACGGATGATAACAGATATTCTCTCACCGATCAGAATCCTGTAACTCTGAACCACCAGTTCAACAACACATTATTAGACTCGTCTGTTATCGGAGGTCAGAGAGCAAAGATGGCGGCACTGGGAACATGCTAGCACCAAATATAACTTCTTATTTTAACTCGATACAACAAGCTAAAACAACAGTTTATGATGCGTAAACATGCAGCTGGTATTCATCTCCCTTTATTAAAGTTTTTGGTAACTTTTGAAGCTGTAGCTTCTGATTTATCTGTTTTTATAAAGACTTATGTGCATATTTCACCCTAAATATATTGTATATTGTTCCGGGGGCTGTGGTGGCTTGGTGGTCAGCGTCAACGCTTTGTGATCCTGAGGCTGCGGGTTCGAGCCCAGGTTGCATCAAAGACATTGGACATAAAACAATCGCCAAATCGTTCATGTGAGAGCGCTCGCTGTGGCGACTCCTGAAGGGATCAGTCAAAGAGAAAACGTTTTCTTCCATGCACATCACAACCCTAGTGGATTTATATTATAATAGTGAAACTTTTACGTTATGACTCAGACTGTAGGAGTTGCTCAAATATAAAACGTTCTGCCTTTTTTCTGCTGTAGGAAATATTTGGGGGGGTTTATTTTTATTTGGACTAAATAAAACCATTTAACTATAAGTGTCACACAAGTTACTAAAACATAAATTTAACTATCATTAAAAAAAAAAAAAAAAAAAAAAAGGCATGTGTTTGACTTAAACTGAATTATAAATGAACGACAAATACATTTATGTCAATTTTAGGTTTGATTATTAGCAGCTTTGCAGATCCCCTCACTGGTCAAACCTTTATGGGAGTAAAACAGACACAAAGAAAATAACATTAAAATAAAAGACCCAGAGAAGTTTCAATTAATTTCAGAAAGGCTGCAAATCAGATGGCGAACAGGTGTGTGTGTGTGTAAACATACTGCGTTGATAATAATTTAGTCTTTCCTATTACTTTCTGTGCTGTACAAAAAAAATATATATATATTTTTTTTTCTTAATTCTACCAAACCAGTTCCAATGATAAACCAGGGCCAGTGCTGGTTTAGCACCATTTTTTTTTTAATGTCCCAGTTCTGCCTCAAGCGGCTCTGGCAACAACAAAAAAAAGGGCTGAGATGACATCACCCCGAGTGTTTCACTTTAGTCCGTCTAAATTTCACAGTCTGTATAAATATAACGCAAAAAAAAAAAACTATTAAAAGTCATTGCTACATTCTATACAGTAAGAACAGAGTGAAGTGATGTAGGAGTGCAGGACACGCACACGTTTATAAAAGTGGGAATATAAATCCCTTTATCTCACGCTGACATCGATCCAGTATACTCGTTACAAGTGATTATATTTGGGTTGATTAAAGTCTGCGCCAACGTTGGACTAAATATGGCCTAAAGGTGTTGTAAATGTCCACATCTGGTTTCAGAAAAAAATTTATTGTGATATTTTTGCTTTTGTGAAAACTCTTAACGGGATTCAAACGCCATCCTCCCACATGCATACACAGTGCAATGGAGGTTGACTGATACGAGTTCTTCTACAGTCGACATCGATTTTTAGGAAATCAAGGAAGACAATGGCCGATATGCAACACCAATGTTTTTAAGGTCAATATTTATTTTTTATTTGGCGAAATACATATAAAAAAATAACATAAACACAGGTACCATTTAAAATTAATTTAAAAACATTTTTAAATAATATAAAGAACATTTTTGTAAAAAAAAATAAAAAACTAAGCAGCGAGCTACAGTTGAAGCAGCTGCCGCCGCTGCGTCGTCTTTTTCCGACTCAGTAATTATGTGCAGACGTTGCTGCAAGCCATTTTTTAAAGCAGCCAATTAAACTGGTCATCTGATAAATTGTCTCTTTAATTGCAATTTGCATTCCATCACAGCACACCCAGGACCACAGCCCTCCAGTCCGTGATGTAGACACTATGACTGTTCAGGTTAAACCCCTGTTGTTTCTCCCCTATGCTAACCTGACAAACAAAACTTGATATTTATTATCAATTAAAAGTTGCTTTTTTATGCCTGTTTTAAGCTGTTCTGTTACTGAAGACTAAAATAGGATGGAAGCCGTTTGACAAGGGGCCACCTCTGGCCCAAAGGCCATACTACCTTTAGCTTTAAATCATACTCTTACTCTTCTAGCACATCGTGGAGTATACCAAAAACATATTGATTAAGCATCTGATTACCAATGGTTATTAGGGATACTGTTAATCAAATCGATCTGCTTTAAATGATATAAACATAGCACAAAAAGTACGGGAATTTTTGGATTGAGCAGCAGTTGAGTACGTGGGTTGCCAATGCCAAACAGATTATTTTGCTATAGGCTCGGGTTTCTGGTACCACAGGTGCTGAAAGCACCAGTTTAACCAGTGCCAATCCCACATCCAGTCTGGGACAAAGTCCTCAGAGATGAAAATGGTTATCCCAACAAAGTGAGGTTTATTAGATTACCTCCAGTTTAGGGGAATGAAGATGACCTGCCTGTAGTCCTGACCTCAAACCCCCATAGGGCATTTGTGAGATCAGCCTAGGTGAGCCATTTATTCCAGAGTGACCAGCACAACTATGTTGGCTATATGCTGGTGTGGATTCTCAGTCATCCAGGACATGGTGCATCCAAAAAATAAAACAACTGGACTTCTGTTTTATAGCAGAAGACATTTCACTTCCCATCCAAGAGGCTTTCTCAATTCAAAAAGCTCACGTTTTTAAATTGACAACGCCTCCCTGACGAGAAGTGAAACATCTTTAACTACGATATAGGTCCGAGTTGTTTTATTTTTTATTTTGGTGGAAGCACATTGGCTGACGTAACAAATGCTGGCTGAATGGGATCCCATCTCACAGCAGTGTGTGACCAAACTGGTGGGCAGCATGAAGAGAAGCCAGGCTGTAGTGGCTGCGTATGGTTCTTCCACATGCTGCTAAGGCATCTTTGTAAAAACAAGGCAAGTTTTTCTATTATCACGACCCACAAATTATTTTTCCTTACAAATGTGGCATCGTTTATGGAAAAATAATCAGGCTTTTCAATGGTAAAAAAAAAATAAATAAATGTATTGCCAAGAAAGAACAAACAATCAACCCAAAACACATTCCCACACTTTTCGAGCTTCAACTTTATTTACCGTTAGCATCAACAACAACAACAAAGCGGAGCAGCACCGCCCCTGCTGTGATGTAGACACGTGGAACAGTCGCTTCCGCACTGAGACCTGCAGTTATTCTGAAAAGACTCCGTCGAACCGCCTGCGCGCGGAACCGCAGAGAACGACGCGTCCCGTGCGGGA